ATAAATTACACCTTAGTTACGGGTGTAGTAATCAAGCTCATTAATGGTTAGAAACCATTATACGTTAGCAACCATTAATCGTTAGCAACAACTTATACATAACAACCATTTTATTAAAGGGAATGACATTTATATAACAATTCACTTTCGGCATCAGCTGAGAACTTCCATCCACCTAACCATTTTAATCTCGCTTTTAATGTAGTGAGGTCAGTAGCCAGTATGGTCGCCAACGATCTCAGCAAAGCATATCCTGATGTGTAGCTTCTCGGATAAGGTATTGTTAAGGTAGGTATTCAGTTAGGTACTTATTTATCTTCAACATTGAGTACGTCGACCACAGGGATGAACATTTCCATATCTTTCACTGTTAATACACGTACCTACTTTAGTACAGTTGCAAAAGAATTAATTACATTCTAATTTCACATACCTTTTCAAGGTAAAAAGTCAACATGACATTTTCGAAAATATCTCCTTTCAAATTCATTGTATTCCATCAATTGCCGAACTGATCGAAACCGTTCCAATAAGTTTCTTTTGATTTGAGCGGATATACTGTTAAAATCGCCTCCGCAGCAGAGCAAACAACATAATCTTTCACTGAGATTACGAGGACTGACGGTACAGCATTAACAACACATTACTATAGCAACGACAATATATAGCTGTAATTTAGTGGAAAATCGTCGGAGCTTATAATTCCGTTTGTAATTTCTTATATTTTAAAATTACCTACCCCAGTGAAGTCGACGAAAAAACATTGTATGCAATTCATGTATAAATCGGCGATTATTGGTTCGTTCGAATTTAGTCCACTCGCTGCGCTCGTGGACTAAACATCTCACTCGCACCAATAAAACGCCTCATTTTCATTTATGCACTCATTGCATAAATAACTATTCACGTTTGGATGGTTTCAATCACATTAACAAATTCGAACCACGCATACGCCATACTTGATCAAACATAATGAATTATTTTGTAAACGAATATTTACTTTGACGAAGAAAACTATTTGTACCACAGGCATAAACTGATGTTTATACTCTCGGGCCACCAAAAAGCACTCGGGCCTATCGGCCCTCAAGCTTTTTCACTCGTCGCCCTCGAGAATATAAACATCACTATCATGCCCTTCTATTATCAAAGAATAATTATTAGTTACTCTTTGCTATTATGATCGACTTGGTTACTGTCTTGCAGTTAATGGTGACTTATGCGAACATTTATTGTAAATTGTTATATTTTAATACATTTTTGCTCTAAAATAATTTGGGAGCCAATAATCGCATGTTATGAATTTTAAACATTGAAATCCCTATGATGCCTTACGCAAGTCACCACCCCGCCCTGTATAGGTGCACCCTAATTGGTAAGCTTTTCAATTTTCTCTTTACTCCCACCTTTAACATTGTTTGCAACTCTGCTGGTAGGTACTTTAGCACAGAGAGGAATTTAAATATTCCTAGAGCCACTCTGAATATGGTTTAGCATTATCATCAGTTTAATTTTGTATTCCCCTGGGATGTTACGTAATCCCGTAAAAAGCTGAGGAGACTCTTGAACAAATTTACGTTAGAGGATTGATTGAATATATTGCCTCATATGATTTTTGAACCGTGATTAAATAAAGAGATTTTACGGCTGCAACTGCAAGCTATAAGGTTCACTTAAACCAGGATTCAGGAATAACATATTTTTTCTTTCACTCTCTGACCATTAAATTCTAAATCTGCCATAAACATGCAGTACACCACCATGATCTTTTGGTCGGCATTTTTTAGCGTTATGCCTGACTTGAAAAGATTTGGAATATGCCTGAGATTATTGGATGGTATGCCTGCATTTTCTGCGTTCTGCGCGAGACTCAAACTTATTATTGATACTCAGTGATTTGCTTTAAATAGGTATTAAACTTTATTTTAAGAGACTTTATTAACACATTGAAAATTGATTGATTCTAAATTAATTATCAGTCAATAATTTTTTGCGCGATCGGTCATTTCTGACTATTTACCATGGGTGTTTCCATGACAGTAGGTAGAATTTACCAGTTGCTATGATTACGACGACGTCAAAATTACTTACCGATCTAAAAACAGAACAGCAAATACTTACCGACGCCTTTTTAAAAATCAACAGTCTTACATTACATTTAATCTTTAATTATTGTTAGGTACATTAAACGTACAATTTGTGCTGGTTGTTTCCTATAGAAAGACGCTCATAAAGTCATAAAGGAAGTTCAAAGCTAGTAAACTACATCAGATACATGCACATTTTTATGAAATTATTAACTTCAATTTTGGCAAATAAACTGGTTACCTAGTGATGTACAGTCTCTTGTAAAAGTAATGTCCCTCGGATACCTACCACTGTAGCATAGGCAACCAACATCCCAGCCGACTAGTCCAAGTTGGATTTGCGGGTGTGGGAGGTAGGTAGGTATCTAATGCGGTTCGTTTTCAGCAGGTATTCCCACTTTGCCAAACTAAAAATAAGTTAGTAGAATGAAAATGAATGGCATCGATTTATTAGATCTGCGCTGCTTTAATCTATCCTTGGTTTAATACAATAGAAATTTTTACATTTCTTTCAATTGGTTTGGTGCGTTTTAAATTTGGAAATAGTTTAGCTAAAATAATGACCTTTTACTTTTAATTTTTTCGAGTAGATTTTCTTCTATATCTGCACTGGAAGCGCAACAATGCCGTTCCTTTTGTAACGACCACCTCCCACTCCTTTCAAACCCCGGGATGGCACCCGCGGAAAAATTCAGCTGTTTTAATTATTTTTCCCTAATTTCTAATCATTTCACCTGCATGAAAAAGCCGGTTTAACTGGTAACTAATTTTTTTGTCAAAAAATATTATACCTATAACCTGGACTAAGTATCCTTATAATATGCCTACCTACTCAAAAATATGCAACGTAAAAGCTCTCCTAAACTAAATTCGATATTAAATCAACCGCGACCAAGTATCACAAATGCATATCATTTAATTTCTGATGCTAGTTACAAAAGAAAGGTATTGTTGCACAGTGCACTTGTAGGGCAATTAATCGCATTCCATGAGGAGACCTACTTGCAAGTATTAATGACACTCACAGAACATTTCGTTAGAAGAAAACCTACTCAAAAAATTAAAAAGTGAAAGGCCATTATTTTGTCTTAATAGTCTCTAGCTAAACTATTTGCAAATTTAAAACGCACCAAACCAATTGTAAGAAATGTAAAAATGTTTACTGCACCAAGCCAAGGATATGCAGCGCAGATCCTTTAAGCTAATAAATCGATGGCATTCACTTTTATTCTACTAACTAGTATTTAGTTTGGCTAAATGGGAATATCTCCTGAAAATGAACCGCATTAGATACCTACCTCGCACACCCGCAAATCCAACTTGGACTAGGCGGCTGGGATGTTGGTTGCCTATGCTACAGTGGTAGGTATCCGAGGGACATTACTTTTACAAGAGACTGTACACCATACCACTTCGATCATTTCGATTTATTCTGCTCGTTAATTTCTTAGTGCATATTTATATTGGTTGCATAATTTTAATTTCGATCGCGCAAAAAATATTATAAGCACGTCGAACGTTAAGGGTTACCGTTCTCAGACAATAATTGGAGTCGTCGCTTCGCTCCTCCTCCAAACAATTGTCTTCGAACGGTAAAAATCCCTTACCGTTCTCCATACTTAATATACTATTTAAACTATAGTAACGCACAAACAAAACTAAACATTCGCCATGGTAAACTGTTTAAATGTTTGAATGCTTTCATATTCAACACTTATAGCTTTAACTTTTGGATTAATACCTATGTCAACGTATATCCAAGTGTGATGTTACAGTATCTAGCAATTTTAAATTTGAATCGTTCCCGCTTTTATGCATTTTATTTGTGTACGAGGGTTGTCCAGAAAGTAGCAGACTTTGGAAACATTTTAAACCTTGTAAAGAAAATAGAAAATCTATTATTATATACATTTGGGGGCTACACTCTTAGGCTATTTATCAACACAAGCGCCATTCAAATTGAGGCGCTTATCATAGCGTAGCGCAAGTGTTTTGATTCCAACTTTTATAGTACTCCGGCGGCCGGCCTGAGACTTCAACCACTGGTTATCGCCGGCTTGAAGTTCGGCATCACTGTCCATGTGCTGTGTTGCAAGCGAGGTCTTCATCGCTGAGAAGAGGTGGAAGTCTCTTGGCGCTAGATCCGAGCTGTATGGAGGGTGATCCTTTCTCCCATCCAAAATCATCCAAGAGCTGTCCAGTACGGTTGACTGTGTACGGGCGGGCGTTGTCGTCGAACAGCAAAACTCCCACCTCTTTCCAGCGATGAAGACCTGGCTCGCAGCGCAGCGGTTCGATAAGGACGCCGAAATTCATGTCGGCGTTACGCAGTGCAGGTTAAAATCTCAGGCGGCGAATTTATAAACACTTGTACCATAGCGTACCTCAATTAGAATGGCGTTTGGGTTGATAAATAGCCCAAAAATGTATAGAATTATACAATAATATAATAGATTTTCTTTACAAGTTTAAAATTTTTTATTTCAAAACGTCTGCTACTTTCTGTACAACCCTCCTACAAGAGAGTTTGTAAATAAATGTGTGTCATATGCCTTTGTTTATTCATATTCGCACTAGCGACGTTTTTGTGGGGGCGGTAGAATAATTATTGTAGTATGCAGTGTAAAATCGCCCTACCCCCTAACCACCCATTGTATTCGAAGGTTACCAGGAGCACGTGCTTCTGAGCAAACAAGTAATTCAGAGTAGGCACTTCTTGCAAATATTTGAGTCATAGATAGGTACTTAATACCATTGTAGGTATGTGTATATTTATACAATGGTAATACTTATTGGATCTTAGGATCTTAGCGAATTGATACAAGGATGGGTTAAAAAAACAAATGGATAGAACAAAAATTCATTTATTGTCATGTTCTTTTCAATATACTAAAATAAAAGCTTTGTATAAAAATTAAACATAGTATTTGTTCCATAAATTCTGTACAAATTACTGAGATCTTAATAAAATATTTTGTTTATAAAATATAATACTATACAAACTAATTTGAACATTTATATCACAATTCATTTACAGTTGCAAGAACTGAAATTTGCTTAAAGAGATGTATGTACAAAATTAAAACTTAATTAGGTACTAGCTTTTAGGCTTAAACCTAGACATATAAAATTCGCAGTCTGTACAATAAGAATTCGATGCACTCACATACTTCTTTCTACATAAGTTACATTTTGTTTTAACTCCGAGATTATTTTTATTACTTACAGGATTTACAATTATAGGCGTTACAACCGCTTTTGGAGTAGGCGATTCGGTACCTCCCTTTGTGCCGGGTTCAAAACTGACGGTCTTCTTTTGTAGATATTGTTTTGGCGATAACACATGTTGATAAGCTGGCGGGTGATACGATGGTGATTGTCTATGAATTAATTCTTCGTTTATTCGATTGCGCTCAATTGTGGATGGATTTGGCACCATTTGATAAGGTGAATAGTTTCTTTCTATGTGTTGGTAAAGTGGTGGTATGTCGCCATTCATTTGTTGATTTGGAATTCGTTGGCACGGTGAATACAATTTATTACCATCTGGTATTTTGTGGTAGACAGCTTGTGGCGGACTCTCCCCATTTGTAGGAATTTGCTTGTACGCAGAGTAGGATGGAATTTTCTGATAATATTGGGATCTATTTTGAGTATAAGGCGGGTTCATGATTGATTGATGAGTAGCTGATGTAGGAGGGTGGGTGTACACCGAATGTACATTTTGTACATACAGGTGTTGCGGATTCGGATAAGGCACGTTCTGTTGCTGTATAGGAATCGGAGATTGACGCACTTGATTAGAACTATTCATGTGCGTACTTCTAGCCACATAGTATGTTTCGCGAGGATCGTTGTTTAGTTGGCAATCTTGTGGACCATATAAAGATCGACTCTGACATGGCACAGTTTGTTGGTTGTATGTTTGTACTTTGTACTGATCACTAAACCCTGGTGGCCTCTGCAACTGTTGCTGAAGTGCGACATGTTCAACTTGATAATTTGCGTATTCTCCACATCTTTGCATGCTGTTATTATTCGTGGATAGCAGATTTTCTAACGAATTTCTTCTGACATACATGTTGTCATTAATAGAATTCTGTATTAATTGAGTACTATATGACAGTCTCCCATCAGATGAATCTAAGCAATCGTGAGCAACTGAATTTTCTTCACTAGGTAACTCGGCTTGTATGCCATCATCTGACTTTGTAAATGCGGTTCTTAGAACACGTTCCAAAATGGGATTCGGTATGTAAGCGTCCTCTTCCTGTTCATCCGCTGTAGCAACGAGTATAACTTGATCGCAAAACGAAACACTTTTCTTTTTGAGCGGTTTACTTCGTTTTATGCGCTCCTCTTGATAATTTTGGTAGGAATTTAGGGCATTGTGCACGACGGCGTTTAATTTTTCCACTTCGCTAATCTCGGCGGCAATTTGAATCTGGCTAACTTCTTGGTCGTCCTTCTTCTTCAACTGATCTGAATGTACTGAGGAAATGTGGCCATCATTTTGCATAATAAGTGGTGATCTTGAAATATACGACTTTGTTACTGGTGAATTTTGTGGGATTATCGACTGTGAGCTTTCAAATTTCGATGCTAAATCCTTAACTGATGTGATCTTCGATTGTTCATTTCTTAAAGAGTCTACGGATATTTTACGTAACTCGTTGATTTTATTACTGTTACTCGACTGCATTTCTGAGTGACCTTTTTTCACACGAATGGCTTGTTGTTTGGCTTGTAACTCTCTAAGCCAGGTATCATCGACTGTGCGCGTTTCAACAGGTTGTCTTTGAGGTAAGATTTCCAGTCTTTTTAATTGAAGCTGCGCTAGCAGACTTTCGGGTGGTGGTGCTTGAGAAGAACCGCCCTGAGAGATTGATAAATGTTCATCAAGGGCGGTGAGGTCTAATGGAGGAGGGGGGAGAGGAAATTCGGCGCTTCCTTGCCGAGAGTGGATAACTGAACCAGAAGGACTGGGGTAAGGGGGCAGCTCAAGCTGATGGCAAACTAACGAGGACGGGGATGGGACGCAGTCGACTTCATCCACTCCATCATCCGGTATGGGTGGATTACTTTGATTTCTATGGCAATGCTTTGCTGGGCTTTGCTCTTGATGTACATCTGCTTGGGTAATTACAGTATTATATGGCAAGAACTGTGTTGCTTGGTATGGCTGATTGTAATTATTAATATTTTGATAGTTACTCTCAATAGGCATGTCCACTTGTTGTGCAAAAGGTCGCGATTTCTGAGAGTTCTCACTGTATTCCTCTCCAACTGCGTAGATTTCATCATCATTTTGTTGTGAAAGTTGCGAAGTTGTTCTCAAAGGTGGAGGTGGAGGTACTTTGGCCACAGTTAGAACTTTACCTGCACTCCCGTGGAAGCTTTTTCTCATAAGGCGGCTTCTCTCCAAGTTAGGATTGGTGGTCGTACCCGAAAATTCTAAATGACCTTCGGACAGATACCCGCACATACTGGAACTAGTAGTATCTGAATTCTTCACGCCCACGTTACTATCATCTACCGATGAAACAGGTGGAGTTTTAGTTTTTGGTTCCTCGTTCCCTTTAGTTAAATCAGGCATGCTCCTGTTCTTTCTTCGAATGAGACCTCCCATCAGCAACTTCCTTCGTATTTTGTGTTGTTTCTTGCCACCCTTATCCTTTTCCTTTTTATCCTCATTCTCGTCGGGGTTTTGTTCTTTCTTTGGGGTATCTTTATCTTTTGAGCTCGAAAATAAACTACTAGGCGCTAGTGAAAAATCTCGTGATATTTTATTTCTGTCTTCGCTGCGGGATCGTTTTTCCTTAACCTTACTTTCGTCTCTGTTTCTCATTCTCGACAATAAACCTCGCGATTCCCTCGCCGGTGGTTTATCGTACAAGATGTAGTCTTCATCTTCTTCAAAGTCGATTACTTTGCTTTTCAACAGACCTTTTTTCTTGGGTAAAGTCGCGTATATTTCGATGTTTTTCGTTGGCTGCGGTGGTTTCTCTTGAGTCGGCGACACCACTAACAACTCTTTACTGTTCTGCCTTGAGTGCTGACCTTTATCCCTTGAACTTTGACGTGAATGACGACCACTACCACTGCTTCCTTCACGAGTGTGGCGTATTTCTGGATGCGAGTCTTTCGCCGAAGGGTTTTGTGTTTGTGTTATTCTTCTGTGCAGACTCCTTGCTCTCATTATGCATGTATTATGTTTCATTCTGGCTAAAGTTAAAGTTTGTGGGTTGTTGTAGGGAGCGTTCATGGCTGCTCTGGCTTTAGTTGCGGCGGCATTACAAAGCGCTAAAGCTAGTACAAGATCGTGCTCGTCTTCTAACTGACGAGATTTGCCCAAAAGTTCATCTGCTTCATCGCATAGTAAATCACAGCTCACTCCAAATTGTTGATTTTGCGAATTGCCATAGTCCTCGGGTATTTTAGCCAAATGACCCTGCTTCATTAAATGCTGAACGGTCGCCATGGCAGAACTGTCATTTGAAGACAACGAGTAGGAATCGTAACCTGCATCGTACACCCCACTGCTTCCACTTGAGGAATCACTTTTTCCACGAGTTGGACTACTGGGAACGCTTCCACTGTTTGCGAGAGGTAATTTTCCTACTAAATATGAGTAGGGATTTTCCATGGTTGTCGACGAAGAAGATGACGCACTATTACGATCGCCACTCCAATTGCCCGAATCTCTCCTTCTTGGTATGTTTAAGTGTTCTGGCACGCAAATTCCTTCCATTCCAGAAGAAGACCCATTACTTAACGTCCTATGAATTTGAGGTTTGGCATGTTGTACATACATAGCATTTTCCATTGCCTTCCTGCTAACATACTCCGGTTCTTTACCAATATCACCATCTACAGTGTCCACTCCATCTAATTGAGAATTAGCGCGTATTTTGTCTTGGATGATCGAAAGATTTTGATATTCATTGTAGGAACAAGCAGTCGGTGGCTTTTGTGAGAAACTACCGTCGGGGTTTGGAGTGATCGCACGCCGCGTATTTCCGACATTTGGTTTCTCGGGGCTAGGAGTAACAGAGCGCCTCATCAGCGTAGTCTTCAGCATTTTCTCGTTGTAAAATGGAGTTACTTGTTTTGGGGCGTTTTCCGTATTCACCGGCGTACCGTTGGGTACCGCATACAACAGCAATAAGGGCTGATAACGCCCACGTCGACATTTATCGACAACTTGATCCCATCGAGGTCCAACTTCGCGCACGGTGGCGTCATCGAAATAAATCCAAACTCGTAATTTCGAATGAAAAAAGAATGTGGAGTAATGCTTCCCATAATAGGTTACAACGCCGACTAGGTTGTGTAAAGTCGTATCGGCCCATTTGTTATCTACCACACTGTAAAAGACGTCGGCAAGATGAAGAGTGGTACCAATTGCCGCAAATACATCCATAATGTGTTCAAGTGTTGGTCTTTCGGAATCCCACACTATTCCCACAGAGACAATTTCGGGGCGATTCATTAGAGACCTTCTGATTTGTATTTTTGCACCACACGTGCTCTGTAATTTAAAAGCACGCGTTACTTTTGTATCTAATGACATGTTAGAGGATGCTTACCGGACAATCTCGAATGTCTCCCATTCCTCCAGCTCTTCTTAAAAGTTTCCCGAATAAATCTACAGGAACTTGCATGGGACCGGACATAACTTGATGAGCTTGGGCCGTCAAGGCGGACGCTGACACATAATGCACCATCTAAAATGTGTGATTATAATTTAAAAATTTCGCTCGACTACGAGATTATTACTTGTGTAAACGGCAACGGTTCAGATGACGCACCGCATGCCGAACACACGCTTTGTTCGACAAGGGTCATTGCAAATTTTTGATGTGGAATACAATGTCGCGCGTTGCACATATCTTCGGCTTCTCCTTTAGCGATGTGCATGTGAATTCGCAGAAGCATATTTTCGAAGCATTCAGCTGCATCGTCCATAAATCCCAGTTGAAAACGCTGTTGGTCGTAAAAACTTTCGGCTAACGCTCTTCTGAGCGCATCGGGCGGGAGAGCAGTTTCATTTGAAAATTGTAATTGTGAAAACAGCTCCTAGAACAATATAGTATGCATTTTAGAATCTTTTACTACCTACAATAATTGCGTAATAGCGAGTAATTAGTGTAGTGTATTCCAATTAGTTACATATTGTATACGTGTGACATACATAGTATGTGGGTAGGTCCAACCCAGACTATACGATTGGAGTTCATGCATGTCGGCGGTCAATAAAGTGGGCTAAGCTTACGGTATAACTTTTACTAAGAAATCGCAAAAAATCACTTAAGTAATAGTAATGATCTCATCCACCGGAATGAAAAACCCAAACCTTTTAGATTTCGATCTGTATAGCGAAGCGAACAGGAAATGCCTCTTCGTGAATAATACCTACCTACCACTAAATGTTGTACCTGAATACTTCAAGTTTACGATTCCTTGAATTAAGGCTGCGGATCTTATTCTAGGAATATTACTTTCGCGTTCCCAATGAATACTTCAATTATTTGCATGGAAAAAGTAAGCTCATTGAAGAATAATCGTTTCAAGGATTTTAAACCAACCTACATATTAAAAAAGCGCAACAGATATAATACTACAATTAACACTAATTGCGCAAAACTCTCCGCTGGTGTAGGGTGCACTTTCTCAGTCCTTGGATGCTGTGATTTTTAAAGATTTTTACAAATATAAATATGTGGGTAGAGCGCGAGTAACCTTGAATTTTTTTAATACGGAAAAATCGACGGAAAAATATTACCTACCAACATGAATTAGGGGGTGTAATGCGACATATGTTCTTGGTTGCCAAATGAATAAATAAATTAAGCGCCATATCGATTATTTATTTTACACTTGTACCGTTCCTACAGACGGCAAGAACCTTGATTTCAATGACATTAAACATGGAGAATTCACATAACAATATAATGTTGTAAAAGTGGTCTTTCTTCTGAGCTGTCAAGGCAAAAGTTCAGTCAAATTAACATGTAAGTACGTAGGTACGGTCTATTCAGTATATCTTCCGTTGCACGTCATTACCTGAAGAAAACGACGTACCAACTTAAACTTACTTTCGTTTATTAGGCAACACATTAAGCATGTAGTTTATTTTAGCCGCAACAATTGGTAGCATTTCGCTATGTTGTCGCGTTTAAATTTGTAAATTTGACAGGTTGCTTTTGGTTTACTTTTGATTTGATTTTGATTATTTTCTACGTCTTTCGCTGTGCATTGGTTTGAAGAGAAATTACTGAAGAATTTAGATAACCCGTCAGTAATTGTGTTAGATAACGGGAAAACAGACAACATTAAAGTGTGCTTAGGTGATCATAATGTGCAGTTCTCCGAAAATGATTTTAAAGCCGAACTGTTGAAAAGGTTGCACAGTAAGTACGTTCGCAAATTATTTGATATTATTTAAATCTTGTTGATACTTTTAGGAATAAATCAGCTAAAATGTACCGCATAACGCATTGACCACTTAGCCGAGCAATACGGTTACTTCGTTTTACGATTACCACCGTATCATTGCGTTTTTAATCCTATCGAACATATTTGGGGCATAGCGAAAAATTACTACAATCGACACATTGGTAGAGATGGACGAAGCATTGAAAATTGCGTAAACATGTGACAAGAAACACTACAATCGATAACTTCCTAAACGTGGCGCAATTCAGTTAAGGTAAGGATACGGAAACTGTAATACACGAGTGGTACGAAAGAGAAAAGCAATTAGATCTTGAAAACGTTGCTACTATTATTATAAACTTTGAACACGAAAGCAGTTCCGATGATTCCGATTAATTTGAATATCATCCATCCTTAGATTAGGAAAGAGTATGGATACCGCGTATGCCGTACAGCCCGTGTATGAATCGTGTTACCTTTTTAAACAAGTCCGCCATTTTATATGTGGCACATATGTCATTAAAGTAACATCGTTTTTTATGAGTTTTTGCGCTTAAATTGAGAGGAAATACACAAACAACAACTTAAAATCATGGTGAAATGTGCATATTGTGGATGCAAAAGCCGGAGTGAGAAGGAGGAACCCGGAATTTCATTTCAAACGTAAATATTGAAAATGTGCCTAATGCCGTTACCACGTATTTTCCTATTTTTCCTCATAAAGCTTTTTCTTTGAATATTCTTTTTTTAATATGTTAAAATCCATAGCTTAATGAGCGAGTTGACTTAATTTCTTACAACAGAACCAATCCCATGCATTCAAAATTTGATAACAAACTTCTTCAAGGATGGAATTATTCAATAAACTCCATAGGCGTAGTCATTAGCACTCCGCGTTTTTCAAAGAGAAAATTGGTACGGAAACGGCTTTACGTGAAAAATCAAACAGAAAGCAATGAAGATTCTTATTTTATCACAATCTTTAGCTGGAGGGACAGTTAGTTTTGAAGGCATTTCCGAAAAAAGATGAGAGGAAGTTTCGTTTATACCCGTGTCTGATTAATAAATAGCGCAACGCACGAATTTCATTCGTATGTTCAACTTCAACGTGATTTATTAGCTATAATTAGGTGCTTCTGCCCCTATTCGCATTTACGGATGCTACGACACTGGCCAATGTCAATATGTGGCAGCTGGTAACACTACCGCTAGTGAATTATGCGTCCATATTCTTTCCTTGTCTAAGCATCCATCACATCACATAACCTGTAAAATTTTATATTTAGTACTTTCTCTGTAAAAGAGATGGTACATTTGTACAGTTCATAAGTTATTAAAGTATATTGTGGTTCCAATTAACGAAATGAATAATAAAAATTATTTTTATTTTTAAGGTGTGGATTGGTCACACAAACAATGCACTGTCTTGTTGACAAGTGACATAACCTAAATCGCTCAAAACTAGATTTGGCATTATTGCATAGTAATTACGTCATAGAAAATGATGACGTGCAACGGAAGTTATACGGAATAAAGTGTAAGTACTTATTTGCACCCCACCACAATTATATTTTTCAATGTATAAAGACAAATACAAATAATATTCGTCCATGTAGGTAATCATTTTTGCACCAATTTAAAGAACAGGAAACTACACCATGAAGAAAATAGTTGAGGTTCTTTGTAACTTGTATGTGAAGGTGTGTAACATTCGGTTATGCAAATTAGTTTTATTTTACTTATTATTCCGAGTATTATTCCATTTAACATTAAAATTATGTGTATTTGTTGATATTATTTTGCGTTTCGAACTCAGTTTCCAATGCCTTCCTACCTCGCTTCCTATGACGACGTTTAAAATTTACACACTGTATAGCCTTAGTATTTTTTAGGAGAAAAAGGTGAATGTTATTTCACAAATACAACCTTATTATTTGTTGTTCTATGAACCTTATCAGTTACATTCTTGACGCAATAAGGCGGAATTTACCTAAGCTCGAGGAATCGCAGGGGAATGAAGTGAATAAAAGTAAATACCTACAGAAAAAAAATGAATGTGTTAAAAAGTTAAATGAATTTGGAAGTACAGATAGTACGATTAGAATCCGATCGAAATATCGGACCTTCCTTTACAAATGAGGAACCTTCGAATTTGAAGCAGATTCCAGTGATTTTAAATGAAATTGTAGCATTAGCCTAGCCGAGGCATTAGCGGTGTCAAATTTGGCAGTGCGAATTTTGTACTTATAAAACCATATATATAAGAGAAGTATATGGATAAACGAGTGGACACGCCTATCGCCAACGTTAGTGGATGGAAATATACTTCTGTCATTAGTTGGGAACTAGGCGCTAATGCGCTTGCCTGTTATTATGTAGTGTTATTTACCAAGAATTTACTCCAGTTTGACATAACGGATTGAGGTTAAATTGTTTGTTTTGTTTATTAGTTATTGAACTTTTGTTTAATTTTAATAGTAAAGAAGCCTTTCGTAGTTATATAAATCAGTATACGTAAGTGATACACAATAATTGTAAAGGAATACCTAATGTTTGGCAATTTTAGTGTGTTCATTACTTAGAAATAAAGAATGCAGGTAGGTACTTGTGGGAAAGTGGATTCTTCGGTTTCATGGCACAAGTAAGTTACAATGCAATTATCTGCAATCAATTCATTTATGCCATACTTGTTATTAGATTCCCAAGTGCAAAAAGCAACAAGAATCGGTGACTGCAAGCATGTGAACTATCGGAATTCGATGATGTAAAAACAAGGTTGTGTTCTCGTCATTTTAACCGCTATGACTGCATTGATTTGGATGCACGCAAGCATGATGGGGGCACGAAGTTATATGGGGGTCATTTAACACCTAAAAGATTTCCAACTCGACAATGTTAATTTTATTTTAAAATCAGTAAATGTCTTTAATTTAATTGTGTTTCTTTGAACATTGGTAATGTATCACTGTATATTATAGCTGATGCGAACTTATCCAATTTCATGTTATATTCAAGATATAATCCCTATAGGTATATTATTTCAATTGCAATTTAAGTTTCTACATCGTTACAAAGTTTGCCTTCAAAGTTGAAGGGTGTAACCGTAAACAAACTCCGATGAGGAAGCTCGAAAGTTCTCCGTGAAAATGCTATAGTTTCCAAGTAGAACGATACGGAGTACCTTGAACCAGAACGCACTGGGTGGCACGTGAGCGCTGATTTGAGTTGGCAGTGAAATCATATTCAAGTAGGCCATTGACTGCTTGGTGGTCACTGCAGGTGCCGAATCCTTGTGTGCCGAAAACAATGTTGAGGGCACAAAAAAGGGAAGATTCAAATTGTCGTCGCTAATCGGTGAAGATGCTAGTAGGGGAATCGAAGCGATATAGTCAACAGGTAAGAAACGCTTCGGCGGCGATTGGTCTTGGGAGGGTGGGCCTCGGCCAGCTAGTATACTTATCTAAAGACATCACAGGATCAGACAATAGTGATAGGAGTCGGCAGGTGGAATGGGGCCAATGTAGTGAATATGAACCTGCATGAAGCGAATAGAAGTCTCGGTGAAGTTTCCGAATGGTGCGTGGTCGTGTTTACATATGGTAATTGCACACAATAATGGTTTAATAAAATTTTAACCCTAT